AGGGGCGTAACATTTCCGTCACATGCTTGAGGTATTCGGCCAATCACAACGCTCTGGATAGCTGGCCAATCAGAGCACACCTCGCTTTTTCAGGCTTAGAGGAGAAACAATAATGTACAGTATGTGGAAAATAATGTGTTTTTTTAACCTTAAACCGCATAAATACATTTCATTACACCAAATACACAAAATAATGTTCTTTTTAGCAGCATTATATGACCCCTTTAATAATTTCATTATCAAAAAGACATGAAAACAATTATGACTAATAATCACAATTATATATATATATTTTTTAAATAATCGTAATTATCGGTTTAACCATTATTGTGCAGCCCTAACCAAGATGTTAAAAAGATCTCCTGTGACAGGTTTTATTCCATCAGTTACTAGTTCTACTTCACTCTTAATGCCAACATTTGGTTTTATGTGATGCTTATAAATGATGAATTTTAATATATTGTAATAGGAAAGAAAAATAACAAATTGTATCTCATTTAAATCTCTATTTCTTAGACAATGAAGAGAAGATTAAATTAGCCACAGTGGGTATCATTTGATAAGCATTTGTATGTACAAATTAGTGTGTGAAATGTTATTACGAATGCAAAAATCACAAACTCTGGGTGGCCTTATAATCATGTTGATGAAATTTTATACCTATGTCATCTTACATATATTTCATCATACAGTAAAGGAGTAAGCTGTGTTGTAGCTTGAGCTGCGAGATGTCCCTATATAACAAATGCAGATTTTGGTGCATGGGCTCTCAGGCAAAAGCCTGACGTTAGAGAAAGTTGTATGTTTGCTGAGAGTGTTGAAAGATTGCCTAGAAAGCCCTGGAGATCTCCTATATGGAGATGGTTTGGGTTTGTTTTATGCAAATGACTAACCTCAAGCACACAGTCACTCATTTGGGAAACTCCAGATTCATTAACATTAGAATGAGGTTAATAGCAAATTCATGTGCATACACGTGTTATGAATTAGGTTGTAAATATTCATGAGAAACATACAAATATGAAAAAATCCACTCAATTATTAGTGGAAGTGGATAAAACCCACTTTTTCTTTCAGGACCCAACAATGTTTTACACTCTCCTCAAATTTGCCAAGAAACCAAAGTTTGCAATCAAAAGTCAGAGATCTGAAATTAAACTCAATCATTTCTCATCAAAATGTCTGAGCCCAAATGAGTTGAGCTGTAATGTTCACATTAATTTGATCACTTTTTAACTCTTATTGTGTGTCAACTGTTGTCTCATTTGTGTCTATATGGGCCATTCTACAGAACTGGTGCAAACTGCTGTCCCACAACGAAAAAGCATTCAAGAATTCAAATGTTAAATGTTTCCTAAGATCCTTCTATTATCTATTGAAACCCTAATATTTAAAATATCAGTAACCTTAATGGGCCTATATATAAAATGATCATTTTATTGGGTACTTTCAATTGGAAGGTGGCTGTCCTGAACCCAAAACCATACATTTCAACTTATGAAAACAATATTGAAAAGTTCAAAAAAAATATTTATTTTATATTTTCTTTGTAAATCAAGTAACTTTATGTAAAAAAATGTATCCCGCATTTTCATGTCACTACCGAAACAGTGTATGTTTTAGTCCATTGACTGAGACTGATTTTAACTAAACCCATAAATCTATGATCAGGAAATATTCCTGTGTCCCCCTCTCTCATAGCTACAAGGTGTGATTAGATACTGTAGGTCCCGTCATTTTGAGGTAAATGTGTTCAAAAGTCTGAAAATCTGTGTGTAACTTTAAGGAACGTCACTACCGAATGCCTTTTTTCTACAATTAAGCACACTTTTTTGGGAGTTATTCCATAACATTTAGTTTTTATATGTGTACCACTGTTCAGAACTGTGCTAGCTAACCATGTGCTGATTAACATCTTTGAGCTAGGTTCAAAAGTATCTAAAATTGTCATTACCGAAACATGTCATCATTGTTTCGGTAGTGACAAATAGGAACGCATAATCCTTTATTTGGGGGAAATAAACAAAATTTTGTCTATATGGGCCATTCTACAGAACTGGTGCAAACTGCTGTCCCACAACGAAAAAGCATTCAAGAATTCAAATGTTAAATGTTTCCTAAGATCCTTCTATTATCTATTGAAAGCATTATGAAAACAATATTGAAAAGTTCAAAACAAATATTTATTTTATATTTTCTTTGTAAATCAAGTAACTTTATGTAAAAAAATGTATCCCGCATTTTCATGTCACTACCGAAACAGTGTATGTTTTAGTCCATTGACTGAGACTGATTTTAACTAAACCCATAAATCTATGATCAGGAAATATTCCTGTGTCCCCCTCTCTCATAGCTACAAGGTGTGATTAGATACTGTAGGTCCCGTCATTTTGAGGTAAATGTGTTCAAAAGTCTGAAAATCTGTGTGTAACTTTAAGGAACGTCACTACCGAATGCCTTTTTTCTACAATTAAGCACACTTTTTTGGGAGTTATTCCATAACATTTAGTTTTTATATGTGTACCACTGTTCAGAACTGTGCTAGCTAACCATGTGCTGATTAACATCTTTGAGCTAGGTTCAAAAGTATCTAAAATTGTCATTACCGAAACATGTCATCATTGTTTCGGTAGTGACAAATAGGAACGCATAATCCTTTATTTGGGGGAAATAAACAAAATTTTAGTACAGTTATGCAATTTTTTTGTGTTTTAGTAGTGTTTTAGTAGTGTTTTAGTATGTGAGTTAAAATTCTGTAATGTGATGTGGTCACTACCAAAACATTTCTGTCACTACCGAAAATGTCCAGTCACGACCGAAACATGGGATGTTTTGTCAAAAATAAAGTATATTGAATTATCAACTAAGATGTTATGATAGTGTTTGGTCCGATGCAAATTCAAACTAATTAATCCTTAACTTTGAAATCTGTATGATCAACTTTATGCCTTTTACAAAGAAAACTGGATTCAAAATACAACAAATCTTATAAATCACACTTTAAATATTGTTAAAATTGTAATTGTTATCGATTTACCTTTAATAAAATAGCAAAAAATATATTTACAAGGTAGATGTAAACAAAATCTTAATAGGTCAATATAACCCTTCACATTAAATTATATATTACTGTGTTTCGGTAGTGACAAATTTGGGGAGAGGGGGAGAGATTTTCAGAAACTTTCTGAAAATACAATATGAGAATTAACGTCACAATTACTAGAAATGTGTACCTTGGATATTATACAATTTGCATATGTAACGGAGGCCAGCGAGTAGGTGCTGTGCTGTGCAAGGTGTCCTTGTTAGTGCGTCCGTCTCCCATGCCGGAGACCCACTCGAAACAAGAACGAGGTGTGGCGGTGAGGCCTCGGGAGAGAGGGGTTACATTGGTGCCGTGACCCGGATGGGAGTGAGGTTTAGCGGGGTGAGTGTAACGGAGGCCAGCGAGTAGGTGCTCTGCAGGTAAACGCTAGAGGCTGCAGTCTTTAGCCTCCTTGTTAGTGCATCCGCCTCCCATGCCGGAGTCCCAGGTTCGAGACCCACTCGGAACGAGGTGTGGCGGTGAGGACCCGGGAGAGAGGGGTTACACATACATACAAAATTTGTGGGAAAATGCACTTTGTTCAAGATGTTTCCAACTCTGACTTTGCACCAATTCTGTAGAATGGCCAATATACAAGATCTTTGACAGTATCTGAAGTCAAAAGTTGATACAAACATAACTGAGAACCCCACGTCTCATGAACCACTGAGCAATAAAACGTTCCTTTCCTCTGGAGATCTGACAGGCTTTTGAATGTCTGCATTCGTAGTCTAGGTGTCTTCCTTCACACTTGTGTCTTTGTAAGTTTGTGTGTTTATCTTTGTAGTATTTGTCCTTGAGCTTTAGATTTAGAAATTTTTGTGGGTGTTTGGAGAAATGGTTTCTTTTCTTCACTGTTCTCAATGTCTTCTCATCACGGCAGGCATAGCGCGCACTGAGAAGGACAAGGGCACGCTGTACGAGCTGACCTTCCGTGGAGAGCAGAAGCAGGAGTTTCGCAGGCTGCTTCTCTTCCGCCCCTTCGGCCCCCTCATGAAAGTGAAAAGTGAGCTGGTGGAGACGGCCAACATGCCCATTAACATTGTGCTGCCTCTGTCCCAGAGAGCCGACAAATTCAAACAGTTCATGCACAACTTCAGGTGACTCCACTGTCATTCTCTCCTTCTCTGTTATTATCTGTTGTTTATCGTTCTCCGCACCTGTATTTTCTTTCTTTTTCAGAATTCTTGCAGTCTATCTTCCCGGCACTTTCCATAAATAAGGCACACTTTGGTATCCAGTAGTTTTAAAACATTCAAGGCACAGATTGCACATTGTGAGAAGAACCAATAGATATGTTTCATAAGCTATTACATATTATTTTTGACTACTGTTATTGACTGGTATTGAGTTTTACATTAAGTTCAGAGTTTGCCACAAACACAGAGTAGACACAAACACAGCGTTTAGTTTTTTCATGTGCTTTTGTGGCTCAGTCATAATAGAAATGGTCCAAGTTATGAAATATGTTATGAAAATATCAGTATTGGGTATTATAATATATTGGATATTACAGTATTTGCCCATCAAAAGCCTGCATTTATTTGATCAAAAAATACAGTAAAAACAATAATATTGTGAAATATTATTGTAATTTAAAATGACTGTTCTCTTTTAATATATTTCAAAATGTAATTTATTCCTGCAATGATAAAGCAGCTATTATTCTAGTCATCAGTGTCAATTAAAATCATATAGCAATTGTCGTCTTTGTTTGTTGAATTTATATTTAGTTCATTTTCATACAGAGTTTGCATTTTGCATGAATACCTGTTACCACATGATGTACCTCATTACAAAAATTGTAAAACATTTAAAACACTCTAAAAGTAACATTTTGGATTCTTTCTACAACATGACTAGAAGTAAATAATTTTATTCCATTTTCTCAAATTTTACACAAACACCATAGTGTTAAGAATGACAGAAGAAATGTTTTATTTTATTTTATTTTATTGTATTTAAAATACAGAGACTAGTTTTTCCCTACTGAGTTTATGGTATTGTCAGGTTTGTGTTGTGTTTTGTTCCCCATGTGCTCCCTGTGTCCCAGTGTTTATGCCCATATTTGGTTAGTTTCCTGTTCCTGTCCTGATTATGTTGATTTAATCCCAGGTGTTCCCAGTTTGTTTTCATTGTTCCCAGGTGTGTCTCGTCATCGTCTTGTCATGTGTTTAAATAGTGTTCCCTGTCTTTAGTTCAGTGTCCGGTATTGTTCATGTCTACATGTATAGCGTGAGTGTTCCGTGTTCCTTTGTGTTAATTAAACCCATTTGGATTGATGTACTCCTCGTCTCTCTCCGTTCCTTGCTCCTCACTCCGCTCAGCAGTGCACTCGTGACAGAATACCGGACCTAAAACAGAAAAGTAAGCGCCGCCCCTCTCCTGTGTTTTTGTTTTTGTTCTATACTTTTCGTTGCTCCCCACTTACATGGAGGAACGAGCTTTATTCATCGCCATGGCTCAGGCGAGCCCCGACCCGATCGTCTTTGCAAGGGCGTTCGTGCCGCTCGCCCTCGCCAGCTCCCTCGAGGGGGAAACCCTCGTGATGCAGTTCCGGCTCGGGATGACTTTCCATCAGCCCACGGAGCTCCCAGACACCGCCAACCTCGACTGGAAGGAGACAGTCATCCGGTGTCTAGAGAGTCTCTCTCCGATCCCGATTCGGAACCCCTCCACCGGCCGATCCCGAGTCAAGGCAGCCGGCCATTCCCGAGTCAAGGCAGCCGGCCGCTCCTGTGGCAAGTCCGCCGGCGGTTCCTCAGTCTAGCCTGCCAGCCCCAGAGCTCGCTCCAGTGTCGGCTCCAGCCCCAGAGCTCGCTCCAGTGCCCGCTCCTCGAAAGTGCCTTGCTGTGCCTGCTCCTCCCGAGCACCCTCCAGTGCCAGCACCTCGAAAGCGCTTTGCTGTGCCTGCT